ACCCAGTCTCCCCTTTTCGTTCGCAACGGACTAATTTGAAATATTTGGTCTTTTCTTTCCCGGAGGGAGCTTCAGGTGTTGTTGTTTCGGTGGTGGCTACCCTGAGTGGAAAAGAGCGCGAACACTCAAATTTCTCCTTGCGCCCACTTCGAGACTTTCTGATTTTCTCACACGTGATCATAATGTCAGATGGACAAACCGAGTGTGAAATTTTCAGTTTTAGAGTTGCGGAACTCGACTTAGAAAGTTTCGCCGGTGTCCGGTGAAAAGGAACGAAAGTGATATTTTGAATGGTTTACGTAATTACGTACGTAAGTTGGAGGGGAGGAGGGGGTTCGGGGTTTGGGACAAATGTGCAAAGGTAACTATTGTTTCGGGGTCATCTTGACAAAAGAAAACGAAAATGTTTTATGCTCTAAGACGATCGGAATCGAAATGGCAGAGATATTACCCACCAATTTGGAAATTTGGTCGATTTTGAACACTTTTTACCCTTTGGAAGCTAATAACTCAGCCATTTCGACTCTGATCGGCTTTGAGCATAAGACACTTCCTTTTTCATTTTGAAAAAAGAAACCAAATCTTGTATTACACTTTTAATTTTTTAACCTCTAAAAAAATCCAAATTTTCAATTTTTGTATTTTAACAAAGTGTAATGGTGTGTACTTGTAGAATGATTGGAAGTCCTCTAATGTTTTATTAGGACATGTCAAAACGATTATTCGACCCACAACTTATTTTCACAATAGCCATGGACCTGCAAGGGACCGAACAATATTATAGCCAACATCGTTAACTCAGGTAGGATAGGCCCATCGAAATCAGAACAAGGTATATTATTTTCTTAAATTGACTAGCTTTGTCTGGAGTCCCATTATGTTTAATGATATCCAATAAAATGATGGGAGCATTTAAATTAAACTCTATGATACGATACATAATAGAACTTTCAATTAAATATACTTCAGCGACTTGTGATCCTTCAAATGCTTCGGAGAGATCTGATAAAAATGAATGAAAGAGCGACAAGTTATACTTGTCGTAGGTGAGAAGTTTAAATGTATTTTGAAATTAAATTAAACATTAGGGTATTTAATTTCACTTCAACCAGAGGCAACCATAATAGAATTTCACCTTTCACAAATAAAATGAATTGAATGAAATGGGAGCATCATGTGGCATTACAGAAAAGGGTAAATTGAGTAGGGGGAGGGCAGTGGGGAGGAAGGGACAGTAGCAGACATATTCTGTATGAACTTCAGGAATGCATAAATTTAAGCCCCCACCCCCACCCCCCTCTATATCCAGTCAACGTAACAGTTGTGTGTTTACCAAAACAAATCAACCATGTATTTTGATGAATAGAAACCAGACTTCCCAGTATCAAGCTTTTCTAGTGGACTTCCAAATCTATTCTATTGCATAGTAATTACTCAAGTTCACTACTCACTAAAAGTACCTGTTGTAGAGAGAGGGGGGGGGGAGTGCAAGGGATTTGAACTCTAGTCTAGCTGAATACAGCGACCCAACCAGACCAGGCCGCGGTTTAAGGCCTCTCTCACGTTCAAGGAGCAGAATCGGTTGCCTACCTACTAGGCAGACCCCCATTCACTATAGTTTTGTTCAATATTTGTTACGTCTTCTGTTAT